CAGCAGTTTTTAGCAGTTCTGCTCTGACACTCAGATCCCAGCCCTAGGAGAACGAATCACTTTTCTCTTCAGCCCCAGGCTCCTGGCCTGGTGCCTCGTGCCTGAACATTTGGTTTCTGTCTAGAGGCCATGGGTTACAGTCGCAGCACATGCATGGACTGTGCCCTTTTCCTGTGCATCCCGGTGCGCTCTGGGTGACAACCAACAGTACACAGATGAGAGAACCAAGAGGAGAGAGGGCCGCCTGGGGGCTCAGTCGGCCAAGTGTCTGACTCTTGATCTCGGCTCAGATCTTGTTCTCAGGGTTGTGAGTGAGGAAGGTGAGGGCTCCAAGCTGGGCATGGAGCCTACTTTAAAAAAGGAGAAAAAAGAAAAAAGAAAAAACAAATAGGGGAGATGTGGCCATCCCTTCCAGAGGTGGTGTCAAAGGGATGGAAGCCAGAGAGGGATGGACATGCTCTAAGGGCCAGCACAGGGAATCTTTACTTGGCCCTCAGCCAGGGTGGGGTCGGGGGGGTGGGGGAGACAGGGGTGTGAAGCAGGTGAGAGGGCTGCAAGCTTTTACCAGATTCTCAAAGACTCAAAAAACCATAGAGAACCTTGCTTGAGAGAACAGCGGCTCTCATACCTCAGTGTGCCTTATGGTCGCCTGGTGGGCTCCTTACAATAGGGATCACTGGGCCCCTGAAGAGCAAAGTTAAGGTTCTGATTCAGTTCATTCCTGAGTTAGGCCCAGGAATTTGCATTTCTCTTCTCTTTTTTAAAAAAGATTTTATTTATTTATTTGACAGAGAGAGATAGACAGCAGAGAAGGAACACAAGCAGGGGGAGTGGGAGAGGGAAAAGCAGGCTTCTAATAATTTCTAAGGGAATGCTCATGCTCTTTGTCCAGGGGCCACACTTGAAGAATCACTACTATAGAGGATACAAAACACACGAGGGGTTCCAATTTAAATTGTGAACTTCTCTTTTCAGACAAGAGTTCTAACAGATGCCACAAGCCATCTAAACCACCCTAAGTCCCCAGGAATTTCATATTTTATTTTTGGAAGAGGCCCCTGGAGAGTGACAGCCTCTGGACCTCCCCTTAGAGGTCAGGAAGCATCTGGAAAATAGCATTTTAGAGGATACAGGAAAGTGCCTTCAGAAACATAAAAAGCCCAAGCACGACTCTGAGCTAGAAACTACAGGACTAGCCCCGGCTGATCCAATTACTGGTGAACAGTGAGGTTTTGGGAATCTGGGCAGACCCGGATCCTTTCCTAAACACTGCCTCCTGATCCTTTTTGAACCTATATCTGAAGCCAGATGGGCCCAGATAGGAGGTCCACTGTGAGCAGGACAGGGTGTCTGCTGGAGACTATAACCTGGGAAACGGAAAGAAATCAACAACTCCACTAGACAGAATTCAGGGGCTTCATTCACAGAGCTCTTTGATCAAGTCATTGTGGTGAGGGCAGGAAGAGGCAGGAATAGTATTTAGGACTGTGCTAACTTTCAAAAAGCATAGTGGAGAGAGAGGCCTGGAAAGGCTATTGCCAGCTTTCCTCAGCCCTGCTCTGAGTAAGTCATTCCCCCCTGAAAGGGGAGGGGGAAATGAAAATGTGGATTCATTCATGAATCAACCTTCAGAACAGGAAGGGTGGCTTTTGAGCTATACAGGGAACATGAGCTTTGCCATCCAGCTAAGTACATCCTGAGGTGAGGCAACATCAAAGTCAGGGAGACTCTACAATTTAGAAGAGGAGGCAGAACCTTAGAGGGAAAACAATATGCTAGAGTGACTGAGACCAAGGGTGTGCTCCAGCATCAGGCTGCCAGGACTTGTGACTTGAATTCTGTGTGGCCCTGGACATGTTATTTAATCTCTCCATGCCTCAGTTTCCCTCTTATGTAAAATGGGAGTAAATAATAGTGCCTATCTCATAGGGTTGTATTAAGAATTAAATAAAGTAATCTAGATAAAACACTTAGCTTAGTAAAGTAGTGGGCTTGGAAAAACTTATGATGGTAGCAGTACAGGCCCACCCTTAGTGTCACTGCCAGAGACAAAAAAACCAGAGGCAGGTTAGATCTGCTGCCAGTTTTCCCAGGAGGATGACAAGGAAACTCACGCTCCTTTGGGGAAGGTCTAAGTTGTGAGCTGGGTATGAAAAGAGAGTCAGGATCCTGAGGACTGGGGTGGGGGGGTGATTAAGTGGGTAACACCATGGGCTTTAAGGGGGGGATATTCTGCTCTTTTAAACACTGCAACATTCACTGACTCTGTTTTGTGACATTTCCTCTAGGCCAACTTAACTGTCAAATGGCCCAAATTGAACAAATCAAAATAAATAAAAATCATTGTTGAAGAGAACTGGGACAACCTTACTGAAGAGACGCTGGAGATCTGCGCTCTGAGGGCAGAATCCCCATTTTCAGGAAAAAGAAAAAGTGACTCCTCCCGCTGGAGTTCCAGAAGTGTGGGGGATGGTGCTGAAGTGAAAGCAGTGGTGTTGTATGCCGGCCCTGAGGTTAGCTAGCAGTCAAGCACTGAAAAGGAGATCTCTTCTTTCCTCTGATCCTGAATGAGCAGAACCTCTTTCAAATCCTGTACTCTCAATCAGAAAATCCTGTCTGCTTAGAAAGAAACTGTTACTGGAACTAGGAACAAAGAGATTTACAAAACCACGCAAAACAGCCGAAGTAAAATGACATACCACATGGTTAAATAAAAGTTAACATCTTTTAGAGGTGGTGGTGGGAAGAGTTTGTCAATTACATCACTTGAGAAAACAAAGAGCTAAATAAAAATGACAAAGAGTTCTGTTGAACATGAGGGGCCCTTTTCTTGAGGGGTCTCCCTCTGTGGCAGTACAAGCCTTGTCCTGTTGTCAGACCTACTCCACATCTGTCCCCACCCCCACCCCCCACCCCCAGCCCTGCAGAACTTCACTACTTGCTCTTCAAAATGACCATCCACTGGGCATATTTTATCATAGTCCCATCTGGAGTTTTTAAAAGAGTAAGGTCACAGACAGGGAGGAAGGGGCTTCTGAATTTTCCTTCCCTTATACTTACTGCAAATCCTGGCTAGAATTTGCACCTCAAGCTCCTATAATTAGTTATATCCCTTTGAAATCAGGATCCAACAGTTAGACTGATTCTACCTTGGGCCCAGAAGGGAATCTGGTCTCCTTTTCTATAAGTACCCACCTGTTCTGTGGGTGCTTCCCAAACTAGAGGCCCAGCAGAATGTAGGGAAAACTTTATTTGCACTCCACCTACCTCCTCCAAACAGTGACACCCTCAGCTTTAAGTTTTCATAAGCAAAGTATTTTTACTGGAGTGGTGGCTGTCAGATGTAGAAGCTAGTCCAACAGCTAGTCTGATGTTCTTTACAAAGAAGGGCTACTTTAGCAAGAAAAAAAACAGTAACAACAATAGCAAAACCTTCTCAGGATTCACCCAGGAAAGTCTAGAACTGTAATACTATGATCTTGAGATATTTTTATAGCCATTTATCAGTTTTTAGAATACAACCACTGTCACATACATTTAAATACACTGAAAAATTCTCTATGGTGTGACTTTTTTTTTTTTTTTTAAAGATTTTATTTGACACAGATCACAAGTAGGCAGAGAGGCAGAGGGAGAGAGAGGAGGAAGCAGGCTCCCCGCTGAGCAGAGAGCCAGATTCGGGGCTCCATCCCAGGACCCTGAGACCATGACCTGAGCCGAAGGCAGAGGCTTCACCCACTGAGCCACCCAGGCGCCCCACTATGGTGTGACTTTTGCAGGAACCTTGTCGCTGTAACTACTTGCTCCAAGCCTCCTTCTATCCAGCCTGAACGTAAATGAAAGCGTCAGCAAAGGTAAAATGAGGAGAAAGCAGAAATAATACTTCTAACTATACTCCTAAAGGCTGGGGAAAATGTCAGACACCTAAGGCCTCCACTGGTTTTTGAATGAGAGGACAAAACTAGGATTTTTTTTGGTCCAATAATCTGACCTTCTATAAGAAGACCTCATAAAAACTATTCTGAAGGATCACACCTGGGCCACATTTTCATTGGTAACTTCACTCTCTACCACTCTGCTCACCAGAAAAGCAGTTCTGAAAGGATCTTTAAGCACAGCCTCTATTTTCTACATAAGATTCTCTTCATGTTTTGTCATGTACTCTTTGGTAAGTCTTCCACTACCCTAAATCAACTTCAAATTTAAAACGACAGAAGACTAAAAACCCTTCCATGGGAAAGGAGCATGATGTATGAAAAAAGTTCTTCTTTTTTCTTCAATTGTGATGGGCTAGGTTAACCATCATACCACGAGAGAATTTTATAAAACTGACTCAGGGCACCTGGGTGGCTCAGTCAGTTAAGTGTCTGCCTTCAGCTTAGGTCATGATTCCAGGGTCCTGGGACTGAGCTCCATGTCTGGGCTCCCTGCTCTTTGGGGAATCTGCTTCTCTCATTCCTTCTCCCTTGGCCTCTGCTTCTGTACTATCTTTCTTTCTCAAATAAAAAAAATCTTAAAAAAAAAAAACTACTCAAAAAGGCAAGTCATTCACATAAAGTCTTTAGAAATAAGTAAATGTGTTTTAAAGACATTCGTTTACTTTTTTAAAGATTTATTTATTTGAGAGAGGGAGAAAGAGACAGGGAGAAAGGGAACACAAGCAGGAGGGAATGGGGGAAGGTGAAGCACGCTCCCCACTGTGCTCTGGGGCTCAATCCCAGGACCCTGAATTACAACCTGAACCAAAGGCAGATGCTTAATGATTGAGCCACCCAGGCGCCCCAATAAATGTGTTTTAAAATAAAATAGAAAATAGAGTTTTCCGGTGTGAGAAAACACACTTAAAGCTTACAGCCAATTAATGATCAGGCAACTATACCTGTTACTGAGTCCTAAAAAGGGTTTCCATCTATCAGGGAAAAAAAAAAAAAATGCAAGAACAACCAGATTCCCCCCCAAAGACACTGAAACAAAAGACTGATCTGTTTATATAGTCACATGAAAAATAAACATCTTTATTTTTTTGCCTACTTTATTTCATTTTTTCAAATAAAATTTAAATCTGTACAAAGTATACTGTTACAGTATATATTTTGTAAGAATCAATGCCTAAAAGAATCACAATACTTCAATAAGCAGTACAGCAGACCTCGCTAGTTTCAGCTTTGATATTGAACAAACTCAAGCCGGCTGATGCACAACACATTTGCTTGGTTTCCACATGGTGAGTTCCCAGCACTGAGATGGGAGAACATGACAGCAAGTATGGTTATATTACAGCCCGACACACTGCGCTTCTTCATGTGATAATAACTGCACATATTTAATACAGAATGCTCAAATTTACTTTTTAAATTGCATTTGCTTACTTCTTAGTTGGCAAAATTCAGCATTCTTAATGGGGTCCCCAAACAGTGCAAATTAATGATATTCTACTGTATAATTGGCACATTTCCAATAAGGATTAACTTGTAAACTCAAAGAATATCACAACTTTGTCCTAAATTTTAACTAATATACATCTGGTCCATTTTAACCAAAGTCAGTTTGGAAAGATATTAAAGAACAATTCTATTTTTGAAAGGATACTGTTTTGACCATTCTTTAGAGAAGTAAATTTTTAAATTGTCATTAAAATGTTTTACTATAAAAATTTTACAAACTTGATTAGAAATTTCAAGATTATGATTCACAGCAGACAAATACAAACTTTATATTCCAACAATACCTACTCTTAGACTTTCAAACAGAGCACAACCATGTCAGCCGTGTTAACTAAAATTCTGAACGGTGTACTAAATTTATAAGTGGTGCTGGGTCTAGCAAGTGTAAATACACAGTATATTTTAATGAAAAGAATTGTCTTCTTTATACTTTATTTGTTTTCCCATAAGGAAACATTAATGTTTACATTCTTTAATAAAGTTAATCTTACATCAGAATATAACTTAATACTGTCAGCAACAGGGACCACACACAGTAAATAAGAAGCACATTTAAAATAAGTCTGAATTCACATAGATTAACATTTGTTGGTTAATAAAATATCGACAGTATTACAATCTTACAATATTTACAGTAAGAAAAATCTAGAGTAATATATACCTTTCACAGCAGGATTCCTTTTTTTTTTTTTTAATTATTTCTTCCAGTTTGGGATTGTGTATACATGAAAAGCTCAAATAAAGCAACTCTGCAATATAATCTTAAAATAATGGCTACTGGGGGGAAATTCTATCACAACCATTGAAAATAATGGTGACTTTTCACGGAGTCTGTGGCATCTGAGAACCCAGTTAATTAACCAAAGTCTTGCCCCAACCAGCCTCAGTTACCCAGATTAAAGCTGCAGAACTCCGGCCTTCCCTGACTGCTGAAAACCCAACAGATTTTCTCAACATGCTATAAGAAAAGAGGGAACTAGGTTTCAATTCACACCTCGTGGCTGGAAGGCTCCGGCCAGTGCATATTCTCCAACAGTCTAAAAGGGCCCATTTCACCTCCAAAGCATCACAAGAGTTCCCCTCTAACGACAGGGCACTTTGATATGGAGCTTACTCATTCCTCAACTCTTGTGCATTAAGATAAGGCATGAACGTGGCCCATATAATACACACCAGCATCTTACTTGGGACCAGGGCAAAGAAACAGACTAATGCAGTTTGCACTGAGGTCAACAGGGAAAATGGGAAGCGATGCAATTTCCAATTAGAATGGCAAGAAGAAGACCCACATCCCTAAACTGGAATTTGGCCAGGGCCTCAGAGTTAGCACCCCCTCTCTGAGTACCACAAGCGATTAGGATGTGTGCTCTGGGCCTCCTCTGAGAGAGCATCTACAGTAAGTAATACCATGTGGGACATTAGTTCAGTGATGACTCCCAAGAAAACAGATACAATTCTTGAATCTGGGGCTGTCCACAGCACCTGAGGTCACTCATCTGAGCTGTGACCTGTCCCAACCCTGCTTACTTTAAGAGATCTGATGGGCACAGAGCACTCAGGGATATGGCTGCTGGCTACTTTGGACTCTAGATCTCACAGGTAATCAACAGGTATCTGGGATTGAATTAGCAAACTGTACCATAGCTCCTTAAACAGACACTGTCAGGTTTGAAATCATGTCAAGCATGAATCTTCACTGTCAGGTCAGAAATCAAAGTGGGTATCTTCCCACATCAGCCAAGGTTATTTTGTTAAAAACCTTAGAGGAGTTGGACAGTTTTTCATGTTCCAAGTGATTAGTTTACTTATTTCAGTCAAGCTGGATTGACAAACCAGACTGATCTATTTAGTTAGCTTTGTTTTTTTTGATTCTTATGTATGTGTTTAACCCAAAGCTGTTGTATTTGGGCTAAATACTCTGACAGAGAAAATTCAAACAACAAAAGTTTTCAGCAAACTTCTGTGGTATATTGTTTTTGGAAGTCAATGCAAGATCTAAAGGTATTTCTACCCAACAAAGTCTGTTTAAGTGTTTAATGTTATTTCCTTTTTGGTCCTATACAGAATGCTATGACTTCTATATAGGTCTGAATGCTGCTCCATGTAGATTCCTTCTGTATATCTAAAAATATATACTTTTCAGTAGTTCAATACATGGTTAATCTTCCCACAGAGGAAGATTTTTGTAATCACAAGTTGCAAAGTAGAAAAAAAATCTCCTTTCTAAGAAAGGAAATATACTTTCCTATTATACACTTTTGAAGAAGCCCAAAGGCATGCACCAAAAATCATTATGAAAACTAATACATGCACTAAAATGGTGTAGAGTTAGGACTTAAAGTGCTGATTTCTCAATTTTTAAATTTGGAGAAGACATTTTGTCAGTCGTTGACTCAAAAATCTCCCCCCACCCCACCCACCCCACTCCATGGCATCAAGAGAGAAGTAAAAAGTATGCATAAATCTTTAAACTATTCTTTACATAGGGGAAAGGACAGATACAATAACTATCCTATTTATAAACTGGATTCCCAGTTTTAAATAAAACCAATATTTACTGGTAAAAATTGTCAAAGCTAATACATCCAAACAAATGTTACTAGTAAATAATGTTCTACATAGAGAATAATTTACTTTGGTTTTATGTACCTTCTCACAAATAATACTGGTGTCCCATACATCACCAAACTGATGTGTTCCAGCAAAGTTGTAAGGCAAATCTTTTTTCCCAGTGACATCTTTTTTCCTAATAGACAAAACTAAAATCTTTTGGTGAGGAAGGGGTTAAGATAATGGCTAACCCCGTGGCATCCTGAGCATTGTGGTTTATCAAACTCTACCCTCCTAGAAGCTGTCAGGCACCCTGACCCCTGCCTTGAACCAGGAATGGCTCCCACGTCTAAAGATGCCCTGACTCCTTATAAATAGCTCTCAGAACATTGCTTCTTTTTTCCTTCTGTCTGGATGTCTAACAAAGCTGGTTGCAATGTCACATTTTGCTAGTAGGGGCCACCATCTAACAATAATTCCAATCTGAAATGTTTTAAGCCAATAGTTAATTCTTAATTTTATCAATTAATTGCATTAAAATTTTCTCTACAGAGTTTATACTTAGAGCAGAGATCCTTATCTTGGGTTTCAGATGTGTGATGCCCCTGAGGTTGCATGTAAAAATTATCTGTGTATGTGCATTTTTTTTTTTCCTGGGGAGAGGGTCCATCACTTTCATCAGATTATCAAAGGTTTCTGTGAAGAAAGGGGTTACAAGGACTTAGAGGGATACCCGTAATTCATTTTATATTAGGGTTGGGAAATGGGGGCAGAAAACTAAAAATGGCCTCAGAAAAAAGGGGCCAAATTGCTGATCTTTTCCCTTTATTCAAATTTGGGAAATAAGTGCTTCAACCTAAGAAAAATAATTAATTAAGCTGATTAAACTCCATTAAAAAATAATCAAAGCCACTTTCTAAAATATTTTCATTTTCCATATATGGTAAGTTTAGTCTCCAAGAAGAGGTTTGGAGACTGAATTTTTCTCTTTTCCCTAAGGAAATTCATAAACACAATGCTGATCATTATCCACATTTGAAGATCTGACAACCTAAAACTTAAGACAACTCTAATACTATAGCCTTTATGATTTTGAGTAAAGGATTATCTAGAGTCAAATACACATTTGTCAATCTTCATTCCCCAAAATTGGTCCATAGTTAGACAACTATTGGGCACAATTCCACTAGATAAACCTAAAATTTGAACAATGGAAGTTTAACTTTCTATCCCAACTGAAAACAAAACCACAAGGTTCTACAATAAAGTCCAGCCACAAACATTCACACTATGTCATAGAGGACTTACCCATTTCAATACATCACTGAATTTTCAACAGAATTTATAAACATGAGATCGAGAATGACTACCAAAACATGCTAAGAAGAGCATGTCAAGAATTAAAACACCACCCTGTGCGCACCCCCCCCAATCGAGAAACACACTCAGGCATTCCAAAAATAAACCAGATCCTAAAGAGAGGCCTCTCACTCGTTAAAGTATGACGCGCCCAAAAGGATACAGGGAAGGGACTATAAAATGAAATAATAGCGTACAAAAATTAATTTTAGCCAAAACACATTCTATTGACAAAACTATCGACCTTTTTTTGTTTTTTTTGGGTTTTTTTTTTTTCAATTTCGAACACTGTGTTGCACAATCTCACTAAGACAAAAAATATGTTCACAGGTATACATTTTGTTCTCCTATTCTTCCTAGAGCACATCTTGAGGTTATAAGAATGCTTCTAGTTAAAATAAAGTCTCTTATCCCTTGCTGCCCTCCCCCCCTCAAAAAGTGAGTGAACCTTGAATTCCAAAAAGGAATATTCATTTAATGTAATTATTTCAATATCAGTTATATCACATAGACCATGATGAAACTCTATGAGCATTATGGAAAACTACATAAAAGAGGGAGCTGCCACTTGCCACCCACTTAGCTTCCAGCTTTTTAAGCCACTACCCAGCTAGACTCAGATCTCATTGACTTCAGTGAAAATAAATCAACACTCCAAAACCAGGCCATCTCAGGCTGGAAGCTGGAACTCAAAGACATCGTTTCATATACATATATATATATTTTTTTCTACCCTAAGCTTTCACTTTGTCTATTCAAATAGTTTAATAAAGCTCACATTTACAAAGGATTATATTGGCAAATAAAGGCCCATATTAAAAACTTTTATCAAAACAAATTTTTGTTCTACATAGCTAACACTAAGAAATATTTTCTTGGACTTATAAAGCATATTTAATTGCATATAAGTTTTGCTTTGGGTGGGATATTGAAATAATTCTGTAAGAAATTAGAAAAGACTAGAAACAAAAGTGAAAGTGACTAGTCTTAACTTTCAAAAAATCAAGTGCAAAGATAAATAGTGCAAATAATGAAAACTAGAAATTTTATAGGCAACTTTACATCTTTCCTGCTTTTGTACTTTTACATATTGATAACTCTATAAACCCTAACAACTGTATGCAGCATGGAAATGGGCTATCATTTATCTCCATTGACTAGACTCGAGGAATCCTTTTGAAGGCAGTCATTTAAATCACTGGTTCTTGACTAGATTTGGGAATTCATTTTTTAAAAATAATTCCTAAGGGAGAGGCTATTTAAGAAGGCTTTGCACAGATTTAAACAAGTTACAGAATGTAATTGTATCATAATTTAAAATTGACAGGATGGGAAAAGCATACTAAATGCTAATTCTAAAAAATAAATTATAATAATTTTATTGTTAATGAGCTTGGCATTTGTGAAAAAAAAAAAAAAAAAAAAAAAAAAAAAAAAGTAACTTTCCAGATACAAAATAGAACCTCTTTTTTTACCCAAGAAATTTTATCACTAATATATACAGATTTGGGTAAAAAGTCCATGTTAAACTAAAAAGGAGTCCAAATATATTTGAATTATGTAATTAAAAAAACAAAATGTAATAGTAATTCTTCATCTTAATTAAAAATGTTCCTAGGATATTGGGAACAGAAATCTAGACACTACCAGTTCACCCTACGAAGAACATAAGAACTTCCAAGATATATTAAATTATATTATTACCTGCCACTAATGAACACTTGGGAATTCCACAATTTTAAAGTAACAGAGAAAATGGGAATACAAACAGAAATTTGAGTTTGGGGAGGTATGTTGTCTAATTTCAGAAATATAGTATTACCGAGGGTCACAAAGTCCACAGTCTTAAATATTGGGAATGCAAATGTAAAAGATACCTAAAATTGCAGTTTAGTGTTTTTACCTGGTTTACTCTCCTCTTGTAAGAAATTAATGTGGACCAAAGGCTCAAGGTTCTGTAAAATGAAGGTATGATATGGATTTTGTGAACTAAGGACCATTTTGAAAAGTAAAGCTAAACTACACTGTAACATGAGCCCAGGAAAATAATCTGTATAATAAATATTTCTGATAGTTTAAAAATAAGTGAAAAAGTTTGAAATTTTCTTATCTTCTTTTCCTCAAAATAGTAAGTCCCCAGTACCAACAGGCTTTGACCAGAAAAGCTGTCATTTCACTATTGTGCTACTTAATTTGTCCAGAAAAGCAAACATCCTACACCTGAAAGCAGATTTGTGCAATGCATCATCATCATCATATCTAGCTACAGACCAACAGCTTTCTCATAACCAACAAGGGACCCATTTTCTCCGGCTTTACTGAAACTTCATTAGTGAAGATCAACTTCATTGTCGTTAGCAAACAACGCTCATTTAAGACTCCACCTTAGTATCTTTTCCTACCTAAAATTTCTCCCATTTTACCACCAGACCATTCCCTTATCTAACTCTCACACTTCAAATCATGAACACATTGAACAGTTCCCTTTCTGCTCTCAAATTTCCAAACCATAATAAATCTCACCCCCCAGTAACTTACCTAAAATACACATACTTCTTACTCTCTTCAATACATAAATTTTTTTAAACAATTTCAATGCCCTTCAGATTGCCAGCTTAAGACTATGGGGAAAATAGCACTCAGAAAAAACTGCCCAATTACCTCATTATACAGAACTCTTTCTGGGATCAGTTAGCCATGTTCTAAGGCAGGAGCCAGCAATTTCTTTACTTCCCTCTTAAAGGGGTAAGTTTGAGTGTCACTGGCAGGCCTATGGTAAGGAAAAGAATAAAGAAGGAGAGCAAAACAAGGAAAAAGGAGAATGGGAGAAAAAAAAGCCAAACATATATGGTAGGGATGTAGGTCAAACGCCACCAACTACCTACACTGGAAATTGCCAATCCATTCCAGCTGAATGGGTGCTTGACCCAATCCCAACATGTGTCTAATAATTCATTACCTGATGCTCATTACTGGTTGAGCTAGTCAAGGTGAATACATAAGTCACCTGTCCCATAAGTTTGCTACTTCACAATAAGGACATCCTAAGTCCTCTAAGGATCCTTCTGTTTTAATGCAGCTTAGACTAAAACACACTGTTAAGAAGAGTACTTCCATGATTCTCAAAATTCCAGAATATAAAGGTTTGGTCCTTGAACTTGGAGGCCTCTCAAATTATTAAAGTGCACCCTAAATCAAGAAAATTAAACTTTTAGCTTAATTTTTTCCTATGAAATGTTACAAAAATTTTAATAAGCAAACTGCTAATAGTCATCAAAACAAAGCATGCTTTCATGAAAATTCAAAAATCTTGCAATTCCAAAATGAGTAAAATATTTCTGGTCCTTAAGAATTAATTTTATTTTACATAGAGGATCACCACCATGTTTCTACCTATCAAACAAGACAATTTTCCACAAAAGCAAAGCACATCAGGGGGAAAAAAGAAAAGAAAAGAAAAGAAAAAAAAAACAAATATCAAACGTAATATGGGGACAAAATAAAAATACATAAGTAACTATGAAACTTTTTTAAGAAAAATGTTTCTAACAAATGACCTTTGCCATACTCAGCTTTCCTAGAGACATAAATTGCCTAGACCACTCAACATCAAAACTTGGTAGTCAGTTTAGCAGCTGTAAGATGACAAACTGTTGGCTTGAATCAATCATATTGTTTACTTTTCACTTGGTTGTTTTTGCATTATGAAATTCTACCTGACATGATAATGCTAGTTTAGATGATCCTCACTTAACCCATAATAATGAAATTTGTTTGAAAAGAGCCTGTCAAATGGCTTAGGCCTTAAATTCAGGTTTTTAGGATAAAATAACTCCCCAAATATTAAAATCAGGTTTTCTTAAAAATATGTTGCAAATTCTCTATGGTAATTAATGCAGCTGGGTGAAAAGAGTAATTTTAATAGCAGTGATCATTTTAGTTTTATAGTGTACTCTATTACAAATGGTCTAAATTCAGTTAACTTGCAATTAAAAAACCCAGAAATATTATAATTTATGATTTAGAAATGGGTAAATTTTAACAGAAAACACAAATAACTTGTGAATTTGCTTACATAAGCAATTCCAATAAATTCTTTCCTATTCATTCCACTCTCACGAAAAAATATTTCTCTCTCCAAATTAAGATACTCAGATTTAAAGATATTCAACTATAAATGTTATACTCAGAGTTATCACCAATTGTTCCAAACCTAAGTTGCTGAAGATTTCCCCCCCTTTTAAGCATCCTTTTATATAGAAAGCAGGATCTCATTCTGATATTGAAAAAACTCAGAAAAGGGAAAAAAGTCATTAGATTTGGTATCTCATTTTTTTAAATGGGGAAAAATATTAAAAGTATGTTCACTTACAAAGAAAATGAATTGTGGAGCTATGAAAACAACTACAGCAACAATTTCAGAAATCTCCATTCTAAAATCATGTGGTAATCTGTGTGTGTATGTGTGTGTGTGTGTGTGTGTGTGTGTGTGTGTGTGTAAAATATGAAAAAATGAGTGGGAATATTGAAGAAAAGAGGGCGAACCATGCGTGGGAGACAGAAGTAATAATCATGCCCATGGTGGGTTCACCACAGCTGGCATATACTCAAAATGTCATAAAAGAAAAATATGTTTAGAAAGTTTCAACAGTGCCAAATGCAAAATGTTACAGCACAGCAACAATGAATGAGATAATCCCCACAAACATCAAGTTCCATATGAAAACAGGAAGAAAAAAATCGACATATGCATCTTCTTTAATATACCAAATCTTAATTGACTTAAAGATCATATAAAGTGCTTGGGCCATGGTTACCCACCCAGATTCGCATTATCAACAGACTTATCTCTTCCCCTCCCTTCCACCCAAATTTAGTAGTGTTCCTGCAGAAAAAGGATAGCATTCCTGTATTAATAAGAATAAGAAATGAAAACAGTGAGTACAACTGATATAGATCCATTGACTTTTATTACAAATGTACTTGATCACTTGGCTTCAAAAAGTTTAAAATCAATACCCTATTTTCTGTATGCCAGTACAAAGCAAACTGTTTTACAAATTAAATACCTAAAAATTTGACAAAAATATTAAAATTTGATGAAAAACAATTATAAAAATCCTTAATCTCTCTCTCTTCAAAAAAGGAGGCAGTCTTCCCAGTCCTATTATACAATATTAATAATATTCACCATTTTTAGAATAGGTAGCTAAATTATATTTTTCTGTTAGCATACAAAACTCTTAGACTAATAGATTTCATTTGTATATGCTCCAGTTAAGTTTGTGAATGCCATCTGATTGCAATATAATCAACTATCTTTAATTGAGTCCTAATTTACACTTATTTAATAATTTGCATAGTTTAAAAGGGATAAAGGTTATTCTACAACTAATTATCATAGGCTATTACAGTGCTATTTTTCAAGGCAATAAGTATTTGCTCCCAAATGAAATTATCTGTCTTCTTTAGGCAGGGGTTAAAATTACTAGCAGCTTTCTCCATTACCTGAAAAGTCAAATTGGAATAGTTATCCATCTCTAGATGTGAAGACCTAAAAAAACATAACAATATATTTTCCACTTTGAGTCAAATTTCAACCCCTGCATGGGACTAGAAAGTGAGACTTTCAAGGTTTTTATTTCCCTGTTGGTTTTGGTTTCTACTCTCCATGGCTTTTAGGAAGCTGGGAAAGTTTGTCTTTCCTGACTCACATTGTCTCTCCTTTCCATTTGGCAAATATTCATCTACCTTCAATCTGTATCTAGTAGAGGAAAAGCCGACATGGCTTTTCTTATGAACTTCCTTTGTTGTCAAAGGCATGTATAATGATTTCTACAGTTCTGGTTAGTTAACTTTAGCTCCCTCTGTGGCTGGATGACTGCTGCTTCTAACATCAGCATGATAAATAGGAGGCACAAATAAAAAATAGCTTAAAAAAAGATTTGGTGATTTAAAAGAAAAAAAAAACAAACAAACAACACCAAACACACACACATATATGGGCATTTCAAATCTGGTGGCTGATCTCTGGATTAAATTACTTGACAGTGTCTCTCATTTTAAAGAACGTAAATATTGCAATGCATTTCAAGTTTTCTTTTATACTTAGGCAAATAATATAGTTTAACCAAGCTCTTGGACCTTAATCGTAAGACAAAGCAGATCATTAAAAATAAGGCATACTTATCAGGAATTAAGTTTTGTTTGCTTGTTTTGGCACATTTGATCATACTGTCTTCTAGGAATAACACATATGGTCAAATATACCATCTCCTTTTTCATTTCAGCACAAACAGGGTTTACCAAATAGTAAAATAAAAACAAGGAAAAACTCCAACATAAAACACTGAGATATAGAACCTTGGTAAAGTACCGAGCACCTGGGAGGAAGGGCCAGTAAAGGATGAAACAGTAGAGGGAAGGGAAGGTTGGAAGGGTGCTTGGGGAGGTAAAGTAAGATGCAAAAAAGAGCATCTTTACAGACACTTAGTCTTTTCTAAGATCACCTCTCAAGTCTTAAAAGATTTGCATGTGGATTTTTTTAAACCCACTGACCATAAATCAGACACTGGTTTCAAAATCTTAGTAAGATTGTGTTTAACTGTTATAGTGTAAAGATAGTTGCACAATATATGTGCTTATTGATCCGGTAGGATTCCAAGCAGAATCTGAAGTCTGTAGGTAAGAAAGGCTTCACTTTAGGTAACTCTGACCCTAAAGAAAACCTCATGAAAGAACTCGCATCTCAAAGAAAGGACACTTTGCCTAAGTTTGCTGTGTTTTTGTTGACTTGCACTACTTATTGCTGGCTACTATGAAACACTGATCTAGGAGTACTCCAACAACCTGTAGTACAAGGCTTAACTTTTAAGAAGCTATAGTAAACAAGAGACAAAATCAAAGCAATTCTCTTTCCTAACTAGTAACAGCACAGAGAATGCAGTCTTTTCCATATCACAGTAAAAGTACAGTGAACAAAACAGCTCAACAAACCTTAAGACAAAAAAGTGCAGGTTATTAATGTTTACATGCAGTTGATAAGCATTCCAAATGTCACATTATGCACTGTAAAAGCTCAACTTTACTATATGGAAATAAGAAAAATGCACCTTGGGGGAAGGGGAAAAGCAATTTAATCATTTCCAGTGATTTTTGTAAGTAAAGAAATTCCTAACTATTGTACGGTCACCTCATATTTAACATCGTATGAATATTAAAAGCAAACAATTTAATGGGAAAATGCACAGTACAATGGAAATAGCTTGTTATTCAACACATACAGTAGATCTCAAAAACAAAGACAACACACTCAACCAGGGAGCTTAAAATATCAAATCAAAACCCAAAGAACCAGCAGAAGAAAAAAAAAATCCTTCAAAAAGACCAGTTTCACCTTCCTAGGCCAATGCTTTACAATGTGAGAAGCACTGATACCTTCCAGCTCCTACAGGTGGTGTCTTCTACATACAGCAGTAAGATCTATATGGCTGGATTGCCAAGAAACAATTCCATTCCCAGAACTCTCTCTGTCAGACAAGATCCTTTTTTTTTTTTTTTAAACCAAAATACTTTCTACAGAATTCCAAACCAAAATGTACTGTTTAAGGCATCTTTTTTTTTTATAACATTTTCTCTTCACTCAAAGATGATAGTCATGCAGCAGTTTAATGATAAAAATATATTAATATTTTACTATACAGCAGCAAGAAGTTAGTTGTCAATTAAAAGCACACGAACATCTTTAAATGAAATCCTGTAAAGACTATCGTTACAAACAATTTCAGTTTGGAGGACACCAACTTGGTAAAGTGCTCTCCTAAGCTTTGCATTTTCATACCCTACACCTTGAATTATAGGAGTTATAGAACATACTTTTGATAGAAGGCTTGTACACTTGGGGAACACAAATACATTTAGCATATAATGTAGCCAGTAATAACTAGCACCACAGCTACATGGAAATCCTTTACACATACCAACTTGGCTTTCACTTTTAAAATGAAACTCAGAATCCATGGCTCAGTAGGATAACTATAATTGTGTTGCTCTGCTTTTTAACAGGTCTACATAAGTTAATAGCACTGGCAAAAATCAAAGAACAGCTTCAGACCTCTTACTAGTTTAGGAGACAGTGCTAGTGACCACAAATAGACTCGCTACCTGATGTCCAAGTACAGGTTCACTGGAAATTGCTGCACGTTAGTTTTTAAAATCTTTCTACACATAATAAAAAAAATATATTATGAACGATACATCTCATATACACAATAATGACAAAACACCTACTCAGTCAAAGCAAACAGATGCAGAAAAATATTATGGGAGATTTCCTTTATCTTTCTTTCTCTTTTTCCTTTTACTATTTGAATAACTTTGGTTCCAACCGTAAAAATCACAACTTAGCAAATTTCATTTAAATGCCTTTTTTAATAATTTCTTCATGTTCACAGAAGTTTCACTGACCATTTTTATATGTTTAAGGTCCAGATGCAATGCATATTGTATAAAAGAGAGCACTTATTGTTTACCTTGCATGAATTAAACCTACGTACCTTTAACTCTACAAACTTCTGCATAACATTTAGACAAAGCTCAGACACACAGCATGCCTAGCCCTCATATATATACACATCTCTAATCACAGGTATATAGGGTGTCAAATATACTATAATAACCTCCATGTAAGGTTTGAAATTTGGTAACAAAATGAGAAAAACTAAAAATATTATTTTACGTGTTCTAAAATATCTCTTTTTTGTGCTAAAGTCAAATGTTAGCTCAACATGAAAAGGACTTTTATATAATTCAGCAATATTATAATCTTGACCATTTTGCAAACACTTTTAATAATAATAGCTTAAACGTGTACAAAAGTTCTTGGTTAATTAGGGAAATAAACACTCAGTTCTTTATATTTTTTAATCAAGTAGGAAACACAGTTCATATAATGTTATTACTTTTTGTATTTTTTTTGTTTTTTGTTTTTAGCAGCTGCTTACTGTTTTATATGGTGGATAAAGTGGACAACATCCAGCGATGGGTGGCAAGTCAGGAAGAGAAACTGTCAGTTGGTGGAGGTTCTGTGGGTGGTGCTCCCTTGGAGTTAACAGTTATTTCTTTTTTTTTTTTTTTTTTTTTTTTTACTTTTTTTCTTTTTATTTTCTCTCTTTCTTTACAGTATATTTTCTGTGTGTGGCTGTGTGTGTGTGTGTATGCATGTGTGTGTGGGTGTTTTTTTTTTTTTTTCCATTCAGTTTGATCAATCTTCTTCCCCTTCTTCCTCACCCTGCAGCAACAGGGTGGCAGCGGCAGTCTCCTCCTGCTGCTGCTGCTGCTGCTGGTGGAGCTGCTCACAGGCAGCTCGCTTCTCCCTCTGCTTCTCTTGAATCTTCTTCATCTCCTCCGAGTACTTGCAAAAGGTGTGTCCGAACTTGGCCCACACCTTGTAGGGCACGGTGATGGAGTTGCGGTAGGTGGGCTTCACCTCGCTCACTCGCATAAACACGCCGTACTTGTTGGAGCCCACATCGAAGAAGAAGCGCTTGTTGTCCACAGTCAAGGAGGTGCCCTCGGGCAGCTCGGCCGGCTCCTCCTCCACTCCGTAGTCATCGATGAGCTTGGCCAGAGCGTCGCGGAACTCGATGAGCCCCTGTGCGGGCAGCGCAATGGTCTGGCCCTGCGTGGAGCCCAGGCCGGGCCCCCGGTTGACCGTCTGGCGGATGCGCAGGAAGCGGCCGCGCTGGTTCTCCTTGAGATCCATGTAGTACTTGCGGTTCTCGCGCACCAGGAACTCGCTCTTGAGCGCCCGGCGCGGCTCGTCCTGCGCCTGGGCCAGGTCGGGCGGCTGGCTGGGGCCCAGCTGCGCGTAGTGCTCGATGAAGTCGCCCAGGTAGTCGCGGAACTCCACGGCCACTGACATGGACAGAGTGAGGCGGCTCTTGTTGCCGCCCGCGCCCACCTCAGCGATCTTCAGGAAGCGGCCCTTGGCGTTCTGCTTCACGTCCAGGTAGAAGCGCTTGTTCTGGATGTCCACCCGCTTGGAGGCCAGCTCCTGCGTCTCGTGCTGCAGCCCCCCCGGGGCCCCGCCGCCGCCGCCGCCACTGCCGCCGCCGCCCCCGCCGCCACCACCTCCCCCGCCGGAGCCCGAGCCCGAGCCTGGGTGCCCCAGGGAGCCGCCCGAGCCCAGCGCCGCACCGCCCTGCTCGCTGCCGCTGTCTCGGTCCGCCATGATGCTGCGCTCCGCCGCCGCGCCGCCGCCGCCGCCTGCCGCTCCGCCCGCCGCCTCAGTCGCCTCAGCCGCCGCTGCTTTCCCTCCCCGGCTCCGCCTGCTGCCGCCGCAACCCCCACAGCCAGTCAGCCACTCTCGCGAGATCTGCGGGAGAGACGAGACCCGGTAACAGGGCACTGACTCCCCAGTACAGTAGCAGGGCGCCCTACTGTACGCGCCCACCCGCCCGCCAGCACGTGACATGCGCCCCGTCCCTGATGCCAGCCCCCTGCCCGCCCGCCCGCCAGGCGGCGCCCACCTGCCGGCCCTCACCCCACACCCCTGGCTTGGGGGGGGGAACGCGCCGCGTCGCAGCTGCTGCCGCCACCACCACTGTGGCTGTCGCTGTTGGCCAGACCCTGAGCGGCCTCGGCCCAGGGAGTTGGGGGACCAGGGGTTAGAAGGGGACTGCCATACTAAGCACAGGGATCAGGCCTGAGCTTTGCTTTCCAGTGACCCCAAAGAGAGGATGTGGGGGAAGGGCCTGTGAAAGGCAAGTGAGCCCGCAGCAGACAGGGGACACCAAGTCACGGCCACCCACCCCTGTGGGCCCCAGCCAGACTCAAACCCAAACCCAGACAGGCCCACCCACTGCCTGGTTGGGCTGTCTCCTACCGCAGAGCCCTGGCCGCAGAGGCGGGCAAAGAACAGGAGAGATGGTGCGGCGGTAACCCTTAGCGCAGAAGGGGCTGCCTGGGATGAGGACGGGGCGCCGGCAGCAGTGGCGCGGAGCAGCAGACACCTAGCCCGTCCCTCCCCTCACTCCCGCCGCTCCCCCTCCCCGCGCACGGCAGCGGCTCTGGCCTCAGATGATCCCGCTCCCCCCTCCCCCCAACCGCAGCCCCGCACAGTCGGGCGGGCGGGCGGGCGGGCGGGCGCACTCACCGGCGGGGGGGAGCCGAGCAGAGGACGGCAGTCGCACCAGGGCCGGGGTGCCCGCAGTGCCTGTTCGCGTTGGCTCTGCCCCCCCCCCCCCCCCCAGCAACAATCAAAAAGAAACCCCACACTCACCCAAAAACCATCAACCAGCCCCCTTTGGGACCACAACTACCCGCCTGCCTCCCCCTCCTCCTTCCGAGATTTGGGGAAGGGGGGCACCCTGCTCAAGGCTGAGCCCAACCTGGGTTGCCGGCCAGCTCTGCGGATGAACCAGGCCCCGCCGAGGCTTCAGCCCCCGACCCACTCTTGTTCCCCCACTGGAAGGACCCAGAATGGAGGAGAAAACCAAGCAAGATTTAGGAAATTCACGAGCTAAAAATGTCAGGAATTTCCTGGGAAACGCAGTTCCTTACGGGTTTCATTAACGCAGGTTCGCTCGCCTGTTTTACCCCTCCTCCCAAAAACTCTTATTAAAGTGTCAAGGAGAGCCCCCACCTCTCAAAAAGTAAAACATTAAGTGATTAATGGTTTTTAGGTGACAGCTAGGTTACCAACCACGAATTAACCAATGAATCTTTGGACAGTGACTGCTAAAGGGGGTGTCTGGTCTCGGAAAGGGGCTCAGAAATAAGTGAATTCCATCTTTCTAGATCTAAGGCATAATCTGGGGCCTGTTTCCTTTCTCCTAGATATACAGCAAATGCTCATACCCCTCCCTGCAGTCTGTAGTTCTAACAGTTGAGGGAAAGCTAAGGCCTATCTCCAGGGGAACCCCAGCGGATCCCCCTTACACTCTCCTTATCACCTTCTGCACCGGGCTCAGGGGATACAGACCTCACAGCCTTACTCCTGGCTTTCTCAAGCATGGATTGTTGCCTTCATCCTTAGAACAGTGTGTCTGTCCCATTTGTGGGCTCCATTCCCACTGAACATCCCTCAACCCCCAAAGTAAGGAGTCTTGCCTCCCTCATTCAGCCCCAGAGACAGCTGAGTACATAGCTGCGCAAGCTTCCTGGAAAACGAAGGAGTAGATCAAGTAATGATCAAGAAACCCAGACCCTTCTAGTACATAAGCCTTGTCAATGACTGAGCCCTCAAAGCCTCCTAATATATCCTTTCATCACCTAGGCAAACCTGCCTGCGAAGTATTCACAGCTTCCCTTTTCTCTTAGCAAAGGTCCCATTCTACCCATATTAGCTCCTTTAGTTCTGGGTTGATGTTTGCTACTTCCCGCTAAAGAGCAAGAAACAGGGCAAAGCACGATGGCTACCAAAGAGCAAACTGGAGTAGTCCTGTGGGAACCAGCCCCAGAACCACCCACCTGTCCAGTAGTCCCTGAAGTGATTCCCTGAGGGGGAGGCCCATTCTGAGAGACAGAAATCTGGACTTTGGGCCACATAAAAAAACTTCTTAGTTGCTGGGGGCGGAGGGGCATCCTCCGGATTCACGTAGTACCCTTTTAGTGCTGATTTTTCTGAACTCCCTCCCTTGTCCCCAAGTCTGCAGGGAATGGGAGAGAAGAACTATTGGCGAACTTCCGACTGCGCAAAATTTCAAGTGAGAAAGAGCAGTGGCTCCTCCAGGCTCACATAGTAGCGATCAGGACCCTGGATAGACCCTGTCCCCAAACTGGGACAGAAAGGCTTAGTGGCAGGGTCTCCACACAGAGCAGGGCGGGGTATTACATTTCCAACTGTAAAATGAGGCTAAGATCTGTATAAGTCTGATCTACAAGAGCTCCTGCTCTTCTTCTGGGGTTTACCTTGCGCAGAACCAAGCCCTTGCCCCTTCAAGAGAGTTCACAGCAGCAAGAAGCCCAATGGGACTGCGAAGAAGGGACACGCGCCTCCCATTCTTCCACACTAATGACTGCTCCCTCCAGGACAGAAAACTACGGTTTAAAACTGCTCGTCTTCTTGGAACAACTTTAGAGTCTAAATTTCTTGCTCTCTGTCCCCAATATTTATATCCAGGGGTTCTGAAACGGTTTGAGTTTGGGAACACCCTGATTTTCTTAAAAGGTATCTGTCACCAGAAACTGAGTTCTTAGTTCCCCAGCGCAGAGGCAACTGATGAAGTTTCTAGACAAAGCACAAGTTAAATATCATTTGCATGCTTACACTGGGAATTTTAAGCCCAAATCAGCAAACAACTGAGACCTGGACCTCTCCACATAATATGCACTTACTTATGTTACACTATTTGTTATATATGTATAAAATTTTTGTCATTATATATTACCAGTTTCTCTCCTATTTTACAAATGTATCTAAAAGATAAAAAAAGTTAACAATGGCTTTTCCAAAATAATTCAATGGTAAATTGGATATTTAGTACATTTTCACTACTCAAAAAGTTAATTTCAGGATAAGCCTGTAACTGTGGGGCTTTGGTCGGACTGGGGAAGGCATGGTGGTGAAAGGCGGCTTTCCTTAGGCTACAGAATACAGTAGTCTTAACAGTCTGGGAGGAATGAATATTGACTCAGTGTAAAGCCTTAAAAAGTTTAGAACCTTAAAAAGAATTTCAAAGTTAGATTTGTATCCTAACATTGAAACTCCATTAGGAAATCTGTAGATTTGAAAAGTTTAGAACCTTAAAAAGAATTTCAAAATTAGATTTGGATCCTAACATTGAAACTCCATGAGAAAATCTATAGATTTGAAAAGACTTCTAGCCATTTGCTAATTACTTAAATAATATACTTGGAAAATGAAAAGTCAGTTCTAATGTCTAGCTTTTTGAATTTGTTATTTTGAAACAAACAGTTGTAAAATTAAACTGATGATTTCAATACAATGTAGAAAAGGCAAATGGTAAACGAAATATATTAACATGCAGCAAAATATAGGTATTAACTAAAAATCATCAAATAATATTCTATTTCTACTCAAAGTTTGCTTACTTTAAAAAACCTGATAAATATCTTTAGATTTCTTGTGCTCTTTTATTAATACTACACACATTTTGAAGAGAACAGAGATTGCTTTATTTTTAATCCCACTATCTCTATGTCGTTAACAAACTCTTACTAACAAAAAATTGTTCATAAGTGAAACAAACATTAGGCAGAACAAAAAGGAAAAAAGCCTCAGTCTTCCTCAGCCTTAACTACGGGTGATTCTGGTGATTCTGAAATAATCTAATTCAGCTTTAGTCTTTAAAAGTAAAAATTAACACATACGTATAAAATAAACTTGGAGGGGGAGAATCTACCTCTGGGTAATAAACCCTTTAGATTATGGAGTTCCCAACAGAAACAATATGCTGATTAATACCACAGATTTCTAAAATAAAAGAGAATATTAGAAATTGTGTTGTCAAGTACTACTTAGGGTAAATACCTGTCTTAAACTAGACAATTATCTTCAATACTCAAATCATTAAAACTAACTGGAATGTTGTACTGCAAGGGTTTAAAGTGGAGGAATTACCCATTTCTTCTCAGGGCTATCTATCAGAAAAATGAAGGGTAAAGTAAATGTTAACGTTTAACAACAACAAAGACAAATAGTAATAGTATTTCATCAATCATTTTTTAAAAAAGCATTATCGTCCTCCTATAGCTCACCTAATCTTTGAAATTATGCCTCTCCAATGCTATTTTAATGTTTAAAGATATGAATTAAACATTCAAAATCTGAAGAGAATCCTCGCACTTCACAAAATGTTTTCATCTTAAGCATTTGCAAAAGAGTTAAATAAACGTAGCACACATTCTAAATTCGATCAAAGATTCTGAGAACCCGACATTTTATGTACCCAAAAGGCCCAAACAGAACCGATGCAAATGTCAATAGCTCACTCTCTTCCGGCTGATACTTAAAAGGTTTTACTAGTACCCAAAGGAATGAAATCAGCAACTCTCCACACTCTAGTCAACACTCCAATTTTCAAAGCCGCAATTCGCAAACGTCAGTTTGGGTTGGAAGCAGTAGGGGTCTTGAAGTAATAAAAAAAAATTCCTTTTCTCCTCTGACAGTCTACCAAAAGATGTCAAACCAAATTCCGTCTATTGTAAAGCACTGGGACCTCCCTTCCAAGGACACGGGACACAAACATAGACACCAATGCCAAAAAGCTCTCCAAAAGCACCTGGCCCGACAGAACGAATTGGAACCCTTAAGAGGGTCCCTCACAGACAGCGGAAATGAAGGTGGCATTAATTCAGGGGTAGACAGCAAGGAGCCAAAGAAAGTTGCCCTAGCCGGACTTGGGCCTTCTCTACCCAAGTTCGGAAACAAAGCAGATGTATTTGTGGAGGTCCCTTCTACAGACATTTCAAACCGCCTCCGGAGCCCACTGTCACTCAAAGGGAAGACCCTCCAGCTTCGCATCCGTTCCTTTTGCCCCCAAACGAAAGCAGAGGAGACTGTTGAGCTGACCTAGCTCCGAAAATGCCTTGTTCGGACCACCCATCCTTGGGCCTGCCTTCATCTGCGATGTCAGCACCAATGTATTATTTTTTATTTTTACAACGCATCCTGGGCGAGTGTATGCATTGCGGGGGTGGGGGTTGAACAGAGAAGAGGAGGGGTTGGTAGTGAAGCCTAGAACCCTCCTTCCTCTCCCCTCCTGCCAGGGTTGCTGTGCAGGGAGTGTCGGCCACATTTGGCGCACTGTCCCAGGCCCGGGGCGAAGGTGGCCAGGGGAAATGGGGCTTAGGGATTGCTAAGCAAACGTCACCATTGGTGGTCTACAAGCGTCTGCGGAGGTAGGATTGTCTTTTTTTTTTTTTTTTTTTTTAAGGGGCGTGTGATTTTGTTCTTTTTTGGAGGTGGGAGTTCGTTCGTTCGTTCGTGCGCTACGGGGGTGGGGGGGAATGTTGCTGCACTGCCAGAGTCCCTGGAGGGAGGGTGCGAGGATGTCTACGATGGTACAGTAATTATTCCTGGGGTATACGAGCGCAATTAAAGGGGACGGGGTGGGCGGCACCTCGAGTTGTGGCAGTGCCAGCAGGGAAGGTCGCGAGGGGCTTACCCGGGCGGGCGGGCGCTGTCCTGCCGCAGGTGAGGGAGGGCGCGGGCTGGAGGGAGGGAAGGCGCGCGCTAGGCAGGCGCTAGGCTGGCGCGAGGAAAGGGGGAGGGGGGGAGGAGGGCGCGCGCGCGCACACCTGTCCTGGACAGCGGCGCGAGCCGAGCGGCGCCTCAGTCGGGCTCTGCCGGCTGAGGAGGAAGGAGGGCGGGCTGGCGGGCGGGGGCGGGACGCCGAGGGGAGGAGGAGGAGGCGGCTCGGATGGCTGGCTCGGCTCTCGCTCGTTCTCCCTCCCGCGGGCAAGTCCGGCTCACACCCTGCTTCTCCCGCTCACTCACAGCCCCCTTGGCTCTCCCTCCTCCTCCTCCTTCCCCTGCGGGATCCGCTCGCCGCCGCCGCAGACGGCAAGTCGTGGCAGCCAGACGTCGGCGCGTAACCCGGCGCTACGTGCGTGACTCCGAGCGACGTCAGCGCGCGCTCCGCGTTACCCACCATCTCTCCCCCATCCTCCCCCCGTGGCTCGCGCCCTCCGCCCTCGCGTCCCTCCGTTTCAGTTGCCGCGGCGGCGGGCGCGGAGCGCGCTCCCTCCGCCCCCCTCTTGCGCGTGCGCGCGCCTTCTCCGCCGTTGGCGCGTCAACAGCCCACGGCCCAGGCCTTGAGGCGCGTCTGAGGAGGGGGCTGCCTGTGGCCTCTTTGCCCGCACTTCCTCCACTCACCGCCCGTGGCGCCCCTAGGAGGACTTACTCTCGTTAGGCTTTGAAGGCTGGAGCTAGGCTCAGGCGGGGCTAGAACCCCGTAGGGCCTGCATCAGCTCCAACTTAGGGCCCTCAGCGTCGTTATCGGTGCAGCTACCACTCTGTCACCCTCTCCACCCGCCCTCGTTCCGCCCGCAAGTCTCAGGAGGCAATAGGCCTTTCATCTTCCGGGAGGGTCTCACCTTGGCCTTCGGACGCCCGCGGAGAGGGCTAGAAGGGCAGAATTAGCATAAAGAAGAAAGAGCGAGACCACATTCGGGCTTTAGCCCCAGGAATCCTTGACAGGAAGCGTGGGGTTGGTGCCCAGTCTCCCACGCAGTGTAGGTGAAACTGGGCCCCTTCGAGGGACTGTGACTAAGGACAAAGCCCTGATAAATATTATTTATGCGTCCTTGGGCTGAGAGGAGAAAAGTGTAAGAGGCGAGTTAATTTTCATAAATTGCTACGCGAGGGCGAAATGCAGAACTATAAAATTTGTCCTTTAAGAGTTTTCTTGAAATCTTAACAAGTTTGACAAGATTTTTGGTGTACGGTAACTTTTTCCTCACTTTGTACGCTGTCACATCTCCATCCTGTCACATTGCATACGTGGAAGATGGATCAATTAAAAATTATTAGCTGCAAATAAATAGAAAGCTGCCTTACCATCTTTATCATTATTTAAATAGGTCTCAGAGAAGTCAGCCTGTAGTTTAGGAAAATTTAGTCACTGTCCTAACTTATTTAACTGAGTATATTTTATTTTGAAGTTACCTTCCAATATACAGTAAAATATGCCTTTATTAGGCAACATTAGACTTTTAAACTCACTAATTATTAGGACCAGACTTTTTTAAAAAATATTTATTTGACAAAGATCACAAGTAGGCAGAGAGGCAGACAGAGAGAGAGAGAGAGAGAAGCAGGCTCTTGGCTGAGCAGAGAGCCTGATGCGGGACTCGATTCTAGGACCCTGAGATCATGACCTGAGCCGAAGGCAACGGCTTAACCCACTGAGCCACCCAGGCGCCCAGGACCAGACTTTTTTAGGAAGTTTATCTAGTTAAGCCTCTGAGGCAAGTAGGAGTGAGTTGAAATTAACCCCATTTTGTGGATGAGAAAATCGAGTTACAAAAATAAAAGTCGGTTGTTCAGAATTGCAAGGAGTCTGTCACCGACAAAGGGAAACACCTTAGGTCTATTATTGCTTACTTTATCCACTAAGCCAGAAATCCTTCCATCGTTTACTTCCGGGTGTCTTTGGATGCCGTCCTTCTCCTCCTCCTCTTCCCCTCTGTATTTTAGGCAGTGCCTAATGTCTGAAACAAATTTGGGAGGTATTCCTGGAGACCCCAATTCACAGAGGACTCTAAAAGGTTTGAGGTTGGAATTTTCTGCCATAGGAAACTACAGCTGAGCAATAAGTTATTGTGGAACAGTTCAGATTCCGTACTAACTGCAAAATGTTTATTAATCCCTAGTTAGAGGTAAGAAAATTTTTGAGACAGTTTAATGAATGATGGGTCATTTCTTTTGAATTGCTTCTTTATTCACCTCATCTTTAGGTGGCAGCACTACTATATAAATATCCTTAAAACTACAGTCTTCTGCAACTTGATATCCTAGAAGAGTGTTTTGTCCTAAATGCATCCCGCTCTGTTGTGGAGATTAGACATATGAAATCATCCCCGAGAATTAGAATACTTAGGAAGTTCCAGAGGAGGAAGAACAGAAAGCCTTTCAAAAGAGGTTAATACATGGAGTTACTGAAAGAAAATATTTGAAAGGTTTTAAAAAGCTTTTTCTTTTTCTAGCTGTATGAGGAGCAAGTAGCATCTTTACTCTAAACTTAATCTTGTACTGAACCAGCACAAGATAACCTTCCAAAGCAAACCATACTTTATCAATACTGCATATTAAGAATTTTTGTAAATTCTTGCTTATTATTAAACTTGCTAGTTGTATTGTTGCCAGTATTCTAACTACAATTTTATTTTATTTTTTAAGTTCTACCCCCAACATGGGACTTGAACTCATGACCCCCCAAATTTAGATTTGCATGCTCTACAGATTGAGCCAGCCAGGCACCCCTAACTATTTTAAAATTGGGGTGCAGTTTTCTTCATTAAACCGGATCAGACTTGTGAAGATCCCGAATAACAACCTATCATTAACCTTTGTGGAAGAGAAGAACTCCTCCTGGCTCCTTTTCTCATTTCGTAAATTGTTCATATACAGACTAAACCACCATTGCTCAAACTCAGAGAAGTGATAATACAAGCTCAACTACATATAAACTGATAGCAACTTACAGTTATTCTATATCTTAATTTCTGCCACAGTGTTTGAGGGCAATAAATTGTGATGTATGGGGACTATTTGGATCGAGTATTCTCTTAGTAGAACTTTGTCATAATTTTGTATATTTACAGTCATTCTTCCTGTACCCCCTTTATCTAAGCAACCAAACAAAATTGGATTTACATGCATTTCAAAATAGAGTGTGTTAGATTTACAGTATAAACAAAATTACCAAAGGATGTAGAAGTATGACCATCAGGAATGGGAAATCAAATTATTTCTGGGTAGAGGATGAAATATTAATAAAGTCTTTCTTGATGGCTTCCATCTTTCTCAGGTCAAACTTGGAGAGTCTCATGCAAATTGGTAGAGCTCAAACTCAGCAGTATTATGCTGAGATTTTTAAGCTCTCTGGTGCCAGCAAATCATGCAGCCTGGGGGCCTTTGCTCCAAACTTCTGCCAACTCCATTTTGGCAGTAAACTGTTCTGTTGAACAAAGTTTGCACGTGTTTGGGGTGTGAAGTGGTTCCTCAGGCATTTATCTGGTTTTATTCCAGTTTGGGGACTTGAAGACAAGAGTCAGAAGCATGAGACTTGTAGAGTTCATATGTGCCCTGACAGATTGTTAGTGATCTTGAATTTCCACCTAAATAAGGGCAGCTTTTTCTTTGTTGGTGTAGGGTTTTTTGGTTTGTTTGTTTGTTTGTTTGTTTGTTTTTGAAGTGGACCGTTTAGTTTACTCCTTAAATGCTAACATGATATTGAACCAGTTCTCAAAAGCAGGTAAGCAGAACTCTCTCTGTTGAGGGTACAGGGCTGTGGCAAATCACTCCTCATCCTCCTACCTACAATACAACCACACACCACTTGAGAGCAAAGAGGCCAGTAATTATTTAAACTTGATCTCACTGTCATATATAACTAGGAGCCTTTGCTATCTTTTTTGCTATTGGTTGTCTGGTTTTATCTTTTTTATCTACTTTTTCCCATCCTGGAGTCATTGGTTAACAGTACTTGGCCCAGTTATATGTGCTTATTTGTATTATTTCAGGAGGTCCCTCTTCCTGGGGGAAACATATGCTTTCTTAATTTCCATTATTTTTTCAAATAATCCTAGGAGAAAATCCTTGCATAATCTGAGGTAACAGTTTGAAAGCTATTAAAATGTTATTGGAATATTTTCTTTTTTTTTTTTTCATTTTCTTCTTCCTGGTTTAAGAGTAATGGAAAGAAAAAAGTGCAAAAGTAAAAATTACATATGTTGAAATGATACTATTACTTTTAACCATGATCAATGGAATGTTAATTTGTAAGATACAGTATGGTAACTTGAAAATGATAAGTTATTTTTGATACTTTTGGCAAGTGTGGCCTAAATTCCTATTTGTACCTTTCCCAAGTCAAAACTGACCTGTAGATAAGGTTAGAAAGAAAGAAAGAAATCTGGGCCTTTCTTTCTTTCTTTTTTTTTTTTTTTAAAGATTTTATTTATTTATTTGACAGACAGAAATCACAAGTAGGTGGAGAGGCAGGCAGAGAGAGAGAGGAGGAAGCAGGCTCCCCGCTGAGCAGAGAGCCTAATGAGGGGCTAGATCCCAGGACCCTGGGATCATGACCTGAGCCGAAGGCAGAGGCTTTAACCCACTGAGCCACCCAGGCACCCCATCTGGGCCTTTTTAAAGAGTGAATCTAACTGGACTGAAAGTACTATTGAATGTTGTTGAACATTTTATGGTGACCCCAAAACTCTTTTGTTTGCTTACTTTAAAATATAAATGTATTGTAATTTTACTACCTGGAGCAAGACTAAATACACGCTTGCATAGGTGGGTGTACACATACAACCAGATTGCTCTGCCCTCTGAAGCTAATTTAGACCATTTTTATAACCAAATGCAGTAGCACTTTGTGATTAGATGATCAGTTGGTTTCTTTCAGTGGTGAGTGAAATATGTCAGGGGAAAAATCAAGATAATCCTCCAAGGGATAAATACAAAGTAAGTTCTTTCTTTAATATTTTGTGCTCTATTTGTATCTTTAAATATTTTTATTTTTATCTTTAAGTATACTTTTACATATACTTGTCTAAATACTGAAAATTATTATACTTATCTTTATAATTAATTATTATTAAATAATAATTATACTTTTTTAAAGTATACTTTTAAGTATACTTTTCTTCTTG